CCATCCTTGAGCCTTGCAAAACCAAATCCTAGTTGACTTTGTCCAGAAATCTGGGGCTCTGATAAGATAAGTTTGCTTTTGTGTAGTGTACAGATTAGAAGCTGAGTCACGAGTCTAAAGTCTGATGCCTTCAGAGTCTGATGAATATATTCAGATTTTGATTAGCCATGATTTGAGTATTGCTTCTTCACCTATGCCTTCAACATGATTAATTATGAATTCTTTGATTTATGATCTTGCACACTTGAACATTGTTAGCAAACCCTATCATTATTTCAATACTTTGTTGTCATCAAAACCTTTTAAGGGCATGAAAAAATCTTGGTCCAAGATTGTGTTTGTGGGGATGTCAACTCAATGGTGAAACATTTTATCCAACAAATGAAGTCTAAGTTTGAGATGAGTCTTATAAGTGAACTTACTTACTTTCTTGGTCTTCATGTTAAACAACTGGAAGACAATGCTTATGTATCTCACATCAATTATGGTATGACCATAATGAAAATATTGAAGAATAAAAATGCAAGTCATCCTATGACTCCATTTGCACTTGGTTCCTGCATGGAGAAATGGATATTGGGAATGTCTGAAATAAAGGCTCTTCCTCATGAGCTCATGACTGCACTTAAAATAAGGCATCTTGTTTCAAATAAATTTATTGAGTTTTTTTGTCAAGCTTGGAAAAGGTCAAATGTGTCAAGCTAGGAAGCAAGTCAAAATAGCATTACCTACTATGGACTTTATAAGACTCGTTCAAGGAGTTTTCAATGAAGGGAATGTCGATGGTCAGGACAGAGGTCCTTTTATCATTGACCAACGAATCTTAGCTCAGAAGAAAAGACTAAAGAAATTTAGTGAGAATGGATTAACTCCTTATCAAAGCTCAGAGATTTTGACTAAACTAAATATTGAGGTTGGTGTTTCTCCTACCAAGAAAGGAAAGTATACAGGTTGCATAAAACCATATATGAACTGAAATAAGCTCCAAAAGCTTGGAACAACAAAATAGACAACTTTTTATGAGTGAAAGAGTTTGAGAAGTGTGCGACAGAACATGGTGTGTATGTCAGAATAAGCAGGAGTGAGTTGCTTATACTATATCTCTATATCGAAGACCAGTTGATAACAGGTAGTTGCAAGAATGAGATCGAAGATTTTAAACATGACTTAAGTAAGGAGTTTAAAATGTCAGACTTGAGAAATCTCTCATACTTCCTTGGTATTAAATTCTATAAGAATAGTAGAGGCTTGATGATGCACCAAAGAAGATATGCAGGTGAAAATGCAAGATTGCAACCCAACTTTAACTCCAAATGAGCCCAGATTGTAACTGATAAAAGATTCGACTAAAGATGACGTCGACCCAACGCACTACAGAAGGCTCACTGGATCACTTAGATACCTCTGTCACACAAGGCCAAATTTAGCCTATTGTGTAGGCATATGGTTAGCATATTCATGCAGAATTCGAAGGTATCTCATTTTGCAGCCACCAAAAGAATATTAAGGTATCTCAAAGAAACACTCAACTATGGTAATTTGTTTGCTTTAGTTGATGAAGGAAAATAATCAAGCTTGTGGGCTACACTGACTCTAGTTGGCATGGTGATACTAAAGACATAAAATCAACAACAAGATATGTGTTCATGTTAGGTGGTGCACCAGTCACATGGAATTCGAGAAAGGAACCAATGGAAGCTTTACCATCATGTGAGGCTAGATACATATCAGCTTCGTTATGTGCATGCCAAGCAACATGGATGATGAATATAGTCGAAGAAGTTACATGAAATAATCATGGAGCAATTACCATGAAGTTCGACAACATGTCGGTCATCAACCTGGCAAAGAATCTGATAGCACGTGGAAGAAGAAAACACATCAAAATGAGGGTTCATTACCTGAGAGAGCAGGTATTGAATGGAAAGTTGAGCCTAGAGCATTGAAAATTAGAGTATCAGATTGCATATATAATGACAAAGGTTGTGCGAGTCAAATTGTTCAAGAGATTAAGAACAATGATGAATATAGAAAGTTTAGACACGATGAATTAGGAGTTGTGTTAAATATATAATTCTTTAACATGAAGTCGAAATAGTGTGTTTGTATTTGATGGGTGTCGAAAGGTGTTTTAGTGTGTGTTGAAATAGCATGTAGTTGTCAAAGGAGTCGACAGAGTCGAAGAATATTGATTTAACTTAGTTTTAATTGAGTTAGTTATTTTGTGATTACTTGAGGAGCAAGTAATCTCATATATAAATAAAGAAGAGCTTTATTTCTTTTGTATGAAGGAGAATACAAGTTTTGTAATAGCTTTGTGTAGCTTCAGAAATCACAGATGTGATTAACTCGCATTGTAACAAACACTTAGAGTACAGTTTACACAACAATACATTCTTCTTTCAACTCTTTATATAATATAAAATCATCTTACAATTAAGAAGTGATTACTTAACCTGAACGAAGGACGAAGAATAAAAGATGTGATCAATCAAAAAGTTTCATCACCACTTGTCATAGTGCAACATTAATTTGAATGAGATACACTTCAAAAGAGATATAAAAAAAACTATAAAAACAAAACCTAAAGAGAAACCGTACAAATATATTCAAGGAGGGTGGGAGTCACATGGCTTTAAGCAAAGAATGTCTTACAATATAATCCCACGTCGCAGTGTTTCGATTTTTGTGTCGTGTGTGAGACACCATCATCATCATGCATGCCAAATTATTTATATAAAAAAAAAGTCACATATTCTATATTTATTATGAATTTAATGACATTGTCCTTTATTATAGTATACCTATTTGTCTTTCTATAATTTTATGTCATTTTGACAGGTACCTCATCATGCCCTCCCACTTAATATACTTCATGTCCTTCTTCTAATTCTTAGTGTAACAAAAAAACATACACTAAACAACAAACAACTCAAAAAATTGCACTTTGTTTCATCTCTATTATTCTTTTATTATTTCGATGCACTTTTTGTTTAAAAAATAATATTGCTAGTAATTATGTATAAACCATTTTGCATGATCAGTGATCACAGATTCATTGCAATATGATTTAATTAATTAAAAAAGAGGATGGGCAATGTGGAAAATAAAATAATAGAATTTTGTATATTGCTGCCATGCCACTCTTTGAAAAATATATATACCTTTAGAGTTACTTCTTCCAAAACTTGTAATAAGAGTTACTGTAAAAGTTAACTTTTTGACAACAATGTTTTGAAAAGTTGCATTATTCAAAAAGCATGCAGTTGAATGTTCAGAATAAGTCCATCCATTATAATTACTTTGAATAAATTAAATAAATAAATATTTTTCTAAAAAAATAATTTTAATTAGCTTAAGAAATATTATAGTATATATTTAGGAATTTGTTTCTTTTTAGTAAGTTTTTATTTATTTATATATTGTTTTTAATTTTGCTATTATGAGGAAATCAATGAGGAAGTAGAAGGTGATTAGGGCTAAAAAGGAGCTTTTAGAGACATAAGAAAAACAAAAAGGGTGAGACCCTTTATGGTCATTTTCTTCTTGGAACATGGCCCTAAACTGTTAGCTGGCAGGACCCTTCTCTTTTGTCCAACCCTTCATTTAAATATATAAATTATACACTAACTTATAGGAATTAATTAAATTTGGGATTTACTTTTTCTTCTTAGAAAAAAATTATCCTATTTTAATTATTAAGCTCAAATTAAAATAATAATAATAATAATAATCGATTATATAAATCATTATTGAAAAGTGATTTTGGTGTTTCATTTAAAAGTTTACGTTTCATTTACCGTGATTCGATAATTTGAGATCTAATTTTAAAACTTATTAAAAAATGATTTTTAATTATTTGAGTTTTTTTGAATTTTTTTCATGTTGTCTTATTAGTTTTTTGGATTTTTTTTTGGCTATTCTAGAAATAATGTGTTATTCAAATACAAAATATGTGATAGATTTTTTACTTTTTGTCATACAATTTAGATGAATTACAAAACTAAATGAACATCTTATTTTTGTCAAATTTTCTAGTTTATTTAACCTTTAGCATAATGGTCTATAAATCTTAGACTTTTTTCTAGGATGATAGCCCTTGTGAGTTTATTTTATATATATATATATATATATATATATATATATATATATATATATATATATATATATATATATATATATATATATATATATATATATATATATATATATATATATATATATATATATATATATATATATATATATATATATATATATATATATATATATATATATATATATATATATATATAATATTTTTTGTAATTTGATTTTATATGGGTTTGAATACCCATTATACTCATCTTAATAATATATTTTTGGTGTTTCAAAATATATATTTAATTAGGTTTACTTTGAAACTATCAACTTTTTGAGTAAGTAAAATGAGTATTTGATTGTTTCAAGAATAAGAAATTATAGAACAATTAATATCCACAAAATAAATTCTAAAAGTAGTATCAAAAGAGAGTTTAATATTATTTCATATCCCTTAACATGATTTTTTACCTATGTATATTATTTTATTGTAAAGTATAATATTATGTATAACATACATAAAATATACTATACTATATGATATGTTTATTTATTCATTTGACAGAGAGACCTCCATTCTTTGTTCTATATTCTCTCTCTCTCTCTCTCTCACATAGCTTCTGCAAATAGTTTACCCCACAAACTTCCAAAGAAAAAGAATTAATAGAAAGTGAGATTTGCAAGAATTAAAGGAACCTCTCTAACACCAAACTCAACCCTTTATATAATCTATAGTTCATCATATTTATATGTGGCTACCATGTTACTATTAATATCTCTTCTCTTTGTTCATCATCATCATCATCATGTCAAATTTCTCTTATTCACAATATAAATCCAAGATTCAAAACCCCTTTTTCTCTTCTTCTTATTTCATCATCATCATCATCATCCATGGCTTGTTTTGAGATTTGTTCATCATGACCATGGTTCCTTCTCAAACCAACAAAACTAATGGTGATTATGCTTTCTACAACAATACAACAAGTGATATGAGCCACTTTCAATTTGTTCAAGATTACAGCAACTACGATAATCATTGTTTAAGATCTGAATTTTTGTTCAACCACATGGCTGAACAAGAGGAATCCTTTTCAAGACTCGAACCCGAACCCGAACCCGAACCTGAAACTATTTCTACCTCAAAGGAAAACGAAGAACAAGAAAGAGAATCAAACAACAATAACTCCAACAACTGGCTTCAATTAAGTATAGGTAACCCCGTCGTGACTACAACTACTACAAAACACGACGCTGATCACACTCAAGCTCCAGCAAATTTGCTGGAGCTTGAGTTGTTACCAACAAATTGGACTTCATCAGAGCAACCTTCTATCAGAGGTTGCTCTACGTTTTTCGATCAAACAACTCCGTCTTCTTCTTCATCATCCGTGTCCATATCCATGTCGATGCCAGCCGGTCCAACATATAGTCATCATCATCAACAACATCTAGTTCCACATAACTGGTCATTTGGTCCATTACTACCGCATTCTATGGCAATTATGGCTTCTTCTTTTTCTTCGTCGCAATCTTGTTCATCTTTAAGACCTAACTATTATCCTCAATATCATCATGCATCACCTTTTCATTTTCCTTCATCTTCTTCATCTGGATTTGATCAACTTGATATTGCTGGACCTAGTTCGTCATCTCATCTCACTTTTCGCGTCGTCGATCCTCCTCGCCGACCTCATTCCGGAATATGGTTCATGCTACAAGCCTCACAAAATCAGTAAGCTCATTAATATTTGATTATTTTCATTCTTGCAATATACTTTAAACTAGTCCCATTTATTATTTATTTATTTTGTCATAAATTAATAACTTTTTTTTTTAATTTGTAATAATGCAGAGTGAAACAACCATTTTTGCCTCAAATACCTAAGAACTATCTTAGAATCAAGTAAGTGTTCATCAATTTTTTTTTCTATAGAATTAAGTGTATATATAATCAATGCTGTTCAATATTTAAAATTTATATACAAATTTCATGATGAAAAAAAAAAATTTTGACTTTTGAAAAAAAATTATATTCAGAGATGGAAGAATGACAGTTAGGTTGCTCATGAAGTATCTGGTTAACAAACTCAAATTGGAGAGCGAATCAGAGGTACTTAATTCGTAACTAATCTTAATTATATGTTAATTAATTAATATTCATAATGTGTTTTCTTGCTAAGATTAGTATTTATTTTATTCATGCAATTAAATTCAAATCCCTCCCTTATTAGTAATCTATATGTGATATGGATAAGTTGTTTTTGAAAGAAAAAAAAATTAAGGAGAAACCAATAAGAATATGTTGTTGGTAGGAAGTGCTTTTCTTGGAAGTCATTTTCCATTTTGTTTTATTTGAGTTCCAAACTCAAATGAACGTGTGTTCATCTTAACAAATATATTATGTTTTGTGTATTAAGTTTGGTGGAAGTGGAAATTTATAGGTATTATCAAGTTAGGTGTAAGGTAACTATTCAAAAGGAAAATCTTATAAGTTAAAATATATAATAATATTATATAATATAAAAAATCTAAAGACTTAACATAAGAAGCTATTTTTCTACAATATGTATTCTAAGAATATATTTGAAAAGTAATGATTTGAAGTATATATATGGAAATAATATTGTGGTATTTGCATAGGTTGGTGATTTTTTTTGTGTACTTTGCTTTTAGATAAAATTGATGATGATTTTTATGTGCACGAGGCCATGCATTGAGTGACATTATTGTGTGTCCACCATGAATGAAACTTGAAAAACTTCATGCATACACTTCATCATCGAGTTTCACCACTACTACTTGTTGCCTCATAATTGCTTAATAAAAGGTTTGAATCCATATACAAGAAATGAATTAAGCATCATGTGTGTTTGGACCTTAGTTATAATAATCATGCATGCCCTTAAGATTATTTCTAGGTAAATCTAAAGATGACCTAGAAAAAATACCTATGCTACAATCATTAGATGTTAAAACTATTTTTTTATGACATCATAGATTTTGCTTGTCTTCTAATTCAATATGAATTTTTTTACTTTAATTCATACTATTTTCTCTAGTCTCATTATTAAGAAAATATTTAATTTATAAATTTATTATATAATTAATATATCTGGTTTAGAAATTGTTATAAAAAATATGTTTTTAATAAAAACATAAGGGAGTATTTTTATAGGAATTAGAAATTGTTTCAAAAGTTTAACCCTTACAATTTTTAGAAATTATTATTATTATTATTAATAATAGAAAATTATATATAATAAAATATTAAATTATAGATATATAATAAATTAAGTTATATATTACCGAAAAAAGTCGAATAAATTATAAATAAATAAAAAAGAGAAATAAAGAATAAAGACTAGGTTTGTGAGATAAAGCAATAACTATTTTTTATTTTTGAATATTGGCTCAATGTGAAACAAAAGAATAGTGTGAATTGTTAATTTGAAATTGTTCATGGTTTGCATTACCTACCAAACAATGTCAAAATAAATATGATATTAGGTTGCAAGACACATGCAATAGACATTCCATTATAATTTCATGCAAGTTACCATTATGTCAACCCTTTCTTTCTAGTTTAGATTTGATTTTCATTCCAAATATTCTTATTTTATTACAATATTCTTTCCCTTACAACTCATGCTTTTAAGATCAGATTATGACTCTACAACATCTTAATAATGATGATAATTAGTATAATTAATTTGAGTTGTTCTATAGTTACAATGCGTAACGCACTCAACATTCTCCTATATAGCTGCATGCATGTTTTAGAATGTATGAAAAAGAAAATCACTTAACAATTAATTAATAATATCATCTATGAATAAAAAATTATTGAGGATTTGAGGATTGATAGATTAGTTGCTATACAAGAAAGGGAATGCTAATCTTTAAGCTTTATGCAAAGTTTCTTTGAGCAATATCTCATTGTTACTAGGTATGATTTGTTTAATTAAGATATAAAGCTTCTGATTTGGAAAAATTGGTAGTTTTTACATAGTTGGTGAATATAGTTATTTTCTCTTCTTAAAAATGATTTTTTTGTATGACTTATGTTAATACTTATACTTTCGTTGAGTGAATAAAAAATATTGTTATGTCTTTGTATCTTTTGTTGTTTTTTGAAGAATCGCTATCCTAGTTTTTTTGTTGTGTTTTTTGGTTGGATAGTTTTTTTTTTAATCTTTTTTTTTATGTATTGTTTTCATCTGTTGCACTTTTCTTACCTGTTATTTCTTCTTTGTGGTTAGCACTTCTAGTGACTTTAAACCCTAAGTAATCTCTTTATTTTAGTTAGACTTAACACATTCTTATATAATCAGATTATAAGGTAAAAGTGACATTATTTTTAAACTTTTTTCAAGCTCTACCTTTAATCAATGTGGGACTTGAGATTTTCTAAATACACTAAGACTGTTGAGATCAATGTGCGATTATAAATAATGGGTGGTCTGAATCGATATGTTAGACTTATAATACATCCCCTCAAGTCTTACACTATTAGGCTTGGTACACGGATATAAACAGTGAATGTCCTAAATAGATAGAATTTGACATCACATTAGAATTTTGGATAGGACTAACATAATCTTACAAAACCGACTTGTAAGGTGAAGAGTGTCACTCTGTATAAAATCTCTATAAGTTTTATCTCTAATCATTGTAGAAACTAGGTTTTTCTTAATCATAAGGAAGTGTGTGGCTTCGTGGATACAAAGACTAAGGTGTTGTGAAAAGTGAAATGGGGTCTTTGTTGGAACAAGAGGTTATGAAAGATAATGCACATTTTTGAGTAGTAGGTGTTGTTGAAGAGTAAAGAAGGTTTAACTTATCAAAGTTTGAGATCAATATGGATTAAAAAATATAAGGCTAAATATCCTTTTTGATCCCTTAAATATACCACTAGGTCCATTTTCGTCTCTTATCTTTTAAAAAGACCAATTTGATCCTTTATCTACTCAAACAACGTCGTATCAGTCATTTCCGTCAATTTTTCAGAAACGGCGTCAAATATTAAACTTGTGGCATATGAGGTGGAATTTCTTCTTTTCCACCTTCTTCAGCTTGATATCTCTGGATTTTTACCCAACAATGAACTCTAAATTGAATAAGGGATTGAATTTCATCCATGGCTGCAAACACCAAATTACATGTCTTCTTCTTCTTAACCTTTTTTTATAATCTTCTTTAGTTTTGCTACAAATTTTTATGCACAAGACTCTAATTTTCTCAAAATATATATTCACATTCAATAACGCCTACCAAATAAACCTCCAAACCCTCTTATCTTCCTTATCTTCCAAATAAACCCAAAACACCAAATTCTTCAACAACGCCCATTTGATTTTCCAAACATTTGATTTTCTTAATAGTTGAAATAGTATATTGCTATGTTCTGTCAACTCCTATAAATATGAAAATTCGAGAAAGCTTCAACAATTTGTTGCATAAGACGTCGAACAAATTTCCAGATGAATTGGGATCTTCTAGAAAGTTGTACAGGAATGCAGGTGGGAAGATTTTTCTAACATAGTTATGTTGCTAGGTTTTAAATTTACCCCTTTTACCATTATTTTACTTTGCCACCAACACCAGCTTCGGTTCCATCGCTTCAGCAAACTCTACCGGTAAAACCAATCATGCACTTTTTTTTGCTTGTGCTTGTTTACTCCAATTTCAAGCTTTAGAGATGAGAGTGAGAAGTTGAGACACTATTACTACTGCCTGTGTTGCTTAAATTTGTGGGTTTCTTCCTCCATCTCAGAACCTAATTTCCACATCAGCCTTATTTAGAAATTATTTTTAACTTTGACTAATGAATCTAACAAAAAGGATAAATGTGACACATTTTTAATAGATAAAGAACCAAATTGGTCTTTTAAAAGAAAATGGATCAAACTCGACCATAAAGTGTAAGTAAGGGATCAAAAAAAGTATTAAGCCAAAATACAATAAAGCTAACCACTCAAGCATGTGAATGTGCTAATGATTAACAAATTATGGAAGCAAAGTAAGTGCCAATTGAAATTGTGTCTAAGAAGAAGTAGCACATAAAAACGCAATAAAAAGAGGGACAACCAAGACAAAAAAAAAGAAGTCCAAAATAAGAAGGTGAAAATCAAAATAACCACAAAAGCGATAACCAAGAACATTATAGGCCAAAGAGGCAAGTAAAAAAAACACACCCACCAAAAAAGCTAAAAAGAAAAATGTAAAGATTTAACCACGACTCTCGAGAAAGGCTTTTGTAGTCAATGTTACACTTTCACAATTCATTCTTGCAACAAATATGGTCCTCTTTATAGTTTTCTTAAGATTACGAATTTCCCATTAAGTTTTTGCCCTTTGTCTACAGTCGACACCTTTCCAAAAAAGATAAAGTCATTATGAGCCTTCCAAATTAACCAACACTATGAGCCTTCCAAATTGACCAAACCACTTAATATCATATTAATCTAAAGGAACCCCTAATTGTCTTACCCGTTTCTCCGAACCCAAATTCAAACTCATAAGAAAGGTCAACAATAGTTGGTGTCATAATCATCTATATTCTTAATCGTATGAAAATACTATGTTTAATATCTTAAGTGAAACAATAAGCAGATTCCACCTAACAAGTACTTAAAAAACATGAAATCAAATTAAAATTCAAGTTAACCATCCCCTAAATAAGTTAAATGTCGTAGAAACCTTATACTAAATATGTTTCTAGAAGAAAAAAAAGCTAATGTTGGAGGGTCTCAACTCTTCCACACTCTAGCTAGAGCCTTGACCACCTAATATAGTTTTGAGCATTTATCTAGAGAAACCATAACAAGAGCTAAATATCTTAAGTGTATAGAGTAACTACCTTTAAATGCATGCTTCCATTACCAAAAGTTCTCCTCGTTAGGTAGAACTTCCCCTAAAAAGGTCTTAACCATGGAAGCCAAAAGGTCATCCTACCAAACAAAAAGCCTACGTCTCCATCTATAATTCAGAACCCAATCACTATACACCCATTATCTTGTTTGACTCACAAGGTAATAATGTTGATTTGAGATTTATAAACAACCTCTTGTGGGTATCACTAAGAGGCATAATATATACCTAAAACCTTTCCAACCCTCTTAATCACTCCTTAAAAAAAAGTATTATGAATTCAAATCAACATTTGCACTAAAAAATTTCTTTTTTCATAAAGAATATGTCCCACTAAATCCATCTATGAGACCTCGAAGATGAGACATGCAATATGAGAGCTAAACCTAGCTAGAAGGATTTCCCTTCATAGATAATGACATGCTACAATGAATATTTAATGACATTTACCTAAAAAAAGAACTTTACCATTGTCATGTCTCACACACCTAAGGTCACCATTCCTCTTAAACTTATACACATCTTCCTACCTATGTCATCTGGGAGTCCCCTTTGAAGTCACCCTAAAGAAACTACATTTGCACCTGAACAACTGACTCTAGACTTTAACGGACATTCTCATAAAAGAAAGATATGTAATAGATATTACACTCAACATATAATTAATAGAATCATCCGACCATTGATAGACCCATTTCTTCATGATGAAGTAAGCCTATTAGAAATAAGTCTGATCAGAGATTCCCTAATGGACACCCTTTTGTAATTGGCCCTAACTGAATTAAAGTATCATTTGCATATTGCATGAGAGAGATTGATAAATCGGAATTCCCTATTTTCAAACTCTGGTATCTATAAAAAGTGATTATGTTCTTCGCAAGACCTTCTAAACCTTCCGCCAATAATAGAAAAAATAATGTCTGCGAACGGGTTATCCTACTTAAAGTTCATGTGAATATTGATATTTTTTTATAGATTTTATTTAAGAAAACTTGTCGAAAAACACAAGCTCAAATCGAAACACTCTCCTTCTCACAAAATCTACTTCTATATAGGTTAGCTACTATTTATGTGTGACAAAAAATAATACTTAAAGCAACAGGATTACTATGTTGACACCTTTTTCTACACCCTACACCTCATTTACTGTTCACAAATACTTGAACAAATTCCTCAGAACATGGTTAATAGTGTGTATTTTATTGGTTAATGAAGTAGTGAAAATGGTTAATAAATTATAGGTAAAATAATTGGCTAATAATGTAGATTTTTGTAGTTAATGCAACTGTTAAGTTGCTTAATGCGCAATCTTATATTTGTGTTATAAAATAAATATTTTTTTAAAAAAAAATATATTATTTTAATAAAAAAAAATACTGTTTGCCGTATAAATACGGTGAACAGTGCATACGGTGTAAGTATTGGATGTAGGAATAACATTTTTCTTAAAGCAAAATTACAACCGTGATTTGAAATAGTTAAAATAGAGGTTAAAAATTCAAATTTTAAAATATAAGAATTAGAGTACCTTTGTTTATAAAAAAATGAAACACTCAAACAATAAGATAGATGTTTAGAAAATCTTGATAAGAGTTGAAAATAAAGACACATATTATTTTTCCTTGCTATAATATTAACAAGAATACTAAGTCTAAGAAATCATGAATCCAAGAAAGCAATATTGTTTTTCATGGTGGAATAGAAGAATTGTACACACATTTTTCTTCCCCTTTCCTAATTGCTTTTGCAATTCATAAAGAATGCATTGACTTTAAGATATGTCTAATGTTGTTAATTTAAGTAAACCATGATATTCTAGGGCTTTGAAAATCACACGTGGACGTGTCATTCTCACCACTCAAAACCTATCTGCATGCCCTCTCCTTCTCACCATTTTATCATGTAGGCCCTTTTTCTCCTTTTGGCTTAAAAGCCTCCATTGATTTTTCAAGTGGTGCACTCTCATATAAATGGAGCCAAAAGAAACAACTACATCATCTATAGCATCTTCCACCTACCACAGTAGCTTCTCTCTAATAAGAACAAAACTTTAATATAATTCAAACTATCATAGCTGTATGTATACGTACGTACGTTTCTGCTATTTCTGCTATCTGCTATCGGATCACTCACTATTTTGACGTCTTTTTTTCTTCTTTGACTAGACATATAGAATTGTTACCTATTTATAGTTGATGATGTAAAATCAAAAGTGCTATTATTTCATGTTGTAATGTTGACGCTCGCATGCATTAGGGTTTCGGTGGCGCAACGTGATAGAGACGTGCATTATGACCTTGAAAGTTTAGTAATAGAAAACCATGATTAGGTCCCTTCAAAGGAACAAACCAAAGAAATATTAATACTATTTTTTTATAAAAGGTGTGTATATTCTTAGTATATTAACAAATCATTTTCTAGATGAGTGGAATTCATATATTTTTTTTAATTATTATGTTTTCCTACATTTCACTTAAACTTATTCCTCGCCGTACTTCATGGATCCTACATATCTTATCTTATTATTGTGTTTGGATTTTCATTTTTTTTACATTTTATTTATTTTTAACATAGTATTTAGCTTATATATATTTATTAGTTGACTTTACAAAATAATAAACTAATAATACATATTTTTTCATCGGTAAAAATATTTGTAATAACAATTTTTGAATACTTTGAATTTGAGTTTTTTCAAATTTCATAATATAGATAAGCGATGGGTAATAGGGACAGTAGTAAACCATCTCAAATTTGATTTATGGATAATTTAAAATATTTAATTTTAATAATTTAAAATTTTATTTATTTTACTAATACATAATATTTAATTTATATTTTTAATTATTTGAAATCTATGTTTAAATTTTTTTAAATTATTTGAAATTATTATTTAAAGTGTTTGCTAGAGTTCAAAATATATTATAGGTTTGAGGAAGTAAATTATTTTGATGAGAGAATAAAACGGAGCTGTTTGAGACGGTTTTTGAGTTTGATTATTTATCATCGTTTGAATTTCAGACTGAGAATGAATATTTAACTAGTATTTAAGTTTGAGTCGTAGAAAGGTAAAATTCATCTTTACGCAAACTGTAAGATTTATATTCATTTATGAGAGTTCGTACCTTGACGATAATTTTTAACCTAATAATATCGGTTTTTATCGATGGAACTAGAATTCACATGTGTGTATATATATTAGTATATTTGATGGAAAGGAAAAATGAAAGTCTAAGGGGTAATGATTATGCTTAGGAAGAAAGTCTAAATGGGTCCCTTCCCCTCCCATAATGATTAAAGAGAGGGCAGTTTTTAAGATGGTGGGTTGGGTGGCCAAATATAGCGTGCATGCTTTAAGATTTAGGAATCAAACTTTTCATTTTCCCCTCAAATCCAAAACTAGAAACCAAAGTGGATTTATGAATCAATCTTATGCGTAAAGTTGAAGTTTACAAAGATCTCATCATCTACGTAATCTACTTACTCAGCATGACTTCATCATATTTCTATACACAAATTAACCATCATATATATAATTAGCTTAATCATAATTATGTTACGAAAAATGATTACTATTATTGCAGATAGAGATAACATGCAAAGGACAACAACTTTTACCTTTCTTGACGTTGCAACATGTGAGGGATAATATTTGGACACCAAGAGACACAACAACAACAACAACACCTTTGCTTTCAGATTCCTCAACAACAGATCATGTAATGGTGCTTCATTACTCTAGAAGCACTTCTTGAAAAAAGCACTTAAATTGTATCCATCCTTGTTAACTTATTACTATTATCTAAACTCTTTCTTTTCTTTTTTCTTTTAGTTTTCAAAATTTTCGAGTTTTGATTTTTATTTTGATGAGAATTTAATTACCCTAAGACAGTGTTTATTTATTCCATTACTGTTTTGGGGTGAGGGCATTATTGTCCAAAATTGTATGTTCATGTTAGGTGAGGTGAGTGAGAGAAATTTGCCATCAATTGTATTATGAAGTACAAAACTCAATCTAATTTTATATACTAACCCATTTTTTTTCTTTTTATTTATTTATTGTTATTTTCATTATTAGTTTATTTTAGAACAATAAGTATATGTAAGTAATGTCATGTGATTTTTGGTTAATAATTTCTCTCTAGTTTACTAAATAATTCATGTAAGAGAGAAAAGTTAACAAATATTTATTTGTTTTTATAGTATTAATGTTTTATTATTTAGTTTAGATTTTTCTCTCTTAAATTGAACAATCTATTGACCCAAGAGTAAGGTACTATATTGAATAATACTAGTTTTTTAATTTGACTTGGTTTAGTTGATACTATTGAATAATACCATTTATTTTTAATTATTTTTAAATTGATAATTTATAAATATTTATAACTTATTTGAATTAATTAAAAAAATTGTTGATTTATAAATTTGTCAAAATTTTATTTACATTACCACATAAATTTAAATAAATATTATTGTCAATGATTAAATTTATATCAATAATTTACATTCATTTAAATCAATTTACGGATATCACCTTTTTTCAACAAGCAACTTTGTATTCAAATGAGAGTATTAGGGATATTGTTGGAAAAACTTCAATTTTGAAATTAACTGAATTAATCTTGATGTACAATACCCAATCTTTTTTATTGATCACGCCTCTTGTTCTTCTCTTCCTTCAAGTGAAACAGTCGGTCTTTGGTTACAAAATGATTCTACACTACACAGAGAATTGAAAGAAAAAAACAATACCATTGAATGTGAGAGAAAAGAGAAATTTTAGAGGAAGAAGAAGAATGTAATGTTGTTGTGCAAACTTCACTCTAAGTGTTAGATAATGTATGTTAATCATAATTGTAATTTTAAAAACTACACAATGCTTTCCTACACTTGATACAAATGAAATAGAACTTCTCTTTATTTATAGATGAGATTACTTTCAGGTTTTAAATTTTTCAAATGGACAAAAACACAAACATCTTATGTGCATTCTCCTTAACACTACAATTTCATGGTTGACATATTAGGTAAATTCAAGGAGTTTGATCTCATGTAGTGGATAGTGAAAGATGAACAACATGGGTTTGAAAATGCGCAGAAGGTTATGAAGGAGAGGAAGGAACATGGGTTTAAGAAACATGATAAAAGACAATAAGAAGAGCAAGATGAATAAGATTGTGGAACCTTCTTTTATAGTCAAGTAATGTGTTGATTTTAAGTGACGTGGCGTATCACGTTAACTTCTGTTGAAAAAAATAAACGACAAAGACAAAAAATATGGAGGAAAAACTTTAAGATGATCATTATTCAAAGAGAATTTTTATAAGAACTAAAATTAAATAATAAAATATTTCTAAAAATCCATAACATATTTAACCCTTTTTAAAATCCTATTATAGTTTAAATCAATCAATAGTTTGCAAAAATGTCATATGCTCTTACTTTTAAAGGACACATGTACCTTATATTTGATCATTCTTTATTTACTCTGAGTGCATAAATTCTTTGTTGATGTTTTAATTTTTGTTTAAGATGTCATAATAGTCTTTAAGAAAGTAGCATCATCAACAAATTTCACATGTAAAATCATGAATCAATGACTTGGGAAACTTGAAGTCATTCCTAGAATTTGAAGTGTTAAGATCTAAGCATTGAATCATCACGTGTCATAGAAAATAGAATTTAATTTTGCATTATATGGACTTTTTTCACACCATGTAAATTTTCACATATGCCACTTGATTTTGGATATATATCTCTAGACGTACCAAAACTCAATTGTACATTAAAATATTTCAGAGATATATCTTTATACGCTCTAAAACTAAAGTGAACGTTGAAATATTCTGAATATATCTCCGGAACATTTTGGAGCATACTAACGCGTCGGACTTTTCTCCTCCCTCACTTTTCATTTTCATTCACAAACTCTTCCACTCTCTCAATCCCAAATTTCTCCAACTTCATCAAACCATATTTCATCAATAGAAGACTTCAAGTAAACATCAAGCATCACCCATTTTATCATTCAACGTCTTCCAAATCATAAATTTCAAGTAAATTTTTCGAGTTTCCGGTAAATATTCAAATTTTATTGTAAACGAGTTAGAATCAATTGTTATGTGTAGAAATGTTTAGAAATCACATGAAACATGGTTTAGAGTAAGTGTGTGTATTGTTTGTTAGCTCAAATGAACGCTCAGGACTGTATTAGACACACTTTGAGTAGCACAGAATGTCATTATCGCGACCTCTGAATTCTAGAAATTTCCAGAGATACATCTCCAAAAAGTTCAACGTTTTATATACTTTAGAAAATTCTTGAGATACATCTCTGGAACGTTTTCGTGTGTGTGTGTGTGTGTGTGTGTGTGTGATATATATATATATATATATATATATATATATATATATATATATATATATATATATATATATATATATATATATATATATATATATATATATATATATATATATATATATATATATATATATATATATATATATATATATATATATATATATATATATATATATATATATATATATATATATATATATATATATATATCCGAAATTTCCTTAGTCTGTTTTTTTCTTTTAATTTTCTTGTTTGTGTTGTTCTTTTGCGTAAACTAATTATATGGCTAATTTTATCATGCAGGCATAATGGCTGAAAGAGTCGACAGACTGAGACTTGGACGAGTTTTCCAACACGCATTCGTTCGGCGGAAACAGAGTCAGCAGGTTCCAAAGGGTGCAAACACATTTGTTCTGATAGAGGAGTTGACTTCATACGCATAATTTACTTCTAGGGCTCAGCCTACTCCTAGGACTCGGCCTTCACTTCATCTACATCTCAGGGCATTCCATCTTCATCTCATGTCACTCCATCTTCATCTCAGGCCACTCCACATTCTTCTTCTTCTTCCCGTAGGAGACGGGATGCACCAGCTGACGCGTCACTTTCCTTATTCTCCCGTAGAAGTCGGGATGCACCTGTGTCACCTCCTGCTGATCCGGTGCTACCTCCCGTTGATGATCCTGTTGATCCAGTGCCACCTCTGGAGGGTGAGGTTGCTAAGGATGCCGAGGCAGAGGAATTCAGAGGAGGTCCATCTAATATGTCCTAACTTTCTCTATATCCAGATCACACTGCCAGACATATCTGAGGCGGAGAGGTAGCATTAGTCTGATTTTTGATATATTTTTTTACATTAATTTAAATTGCTGACATTGATTATTTATAACATTGATTATTACTAACATTGATTATTTTTGGATAATCACATGTGCGTGATCCTTAGAAGTTTATTAACCATGAGAGGAAGATTTTAGCATTGCATCAGCCGAAAGACCAATGATTTCAGTCGGTTCTGACCGCTTCTGGGTTGTGTGACCTATGCATGACCTGTTACGGTCTGGTCAACCACGGGATTCTTAATGCATTCGTGAAGAGATGGAATTCTAAGACGTCTTCTTTTCATCTTCTGGATGGTGAGATGTCTATCACACTAGATGATGTCTCGTCTTTGTTGCATCTTCCGATCAGGGGGAAATTCCTCCATCATGGTAGAATGACCAAAGATGAGGCGGTCAAGATGATGGTGGGGCATCTAGGGGTTGATCCAGGGGACACGGTTGAGGAGGTGGATAGAACCAATGACGCTCGTGCTAGGTTTGAGTTCATGAAGAATATATTTGATGATGAGATCGCTGCTGCACAGCAGGCTGATAGTGATACCGAGTAGGTGACCTTACACGGGATTCATGCTTTGAGGGCATATTATTCTTTATTTGGTTGACACATGTACGAGTGCCACTTATACTGACGCTGCATAACTCCGGTACTTCTTGGATCTCACACGAATCCATGAGTATAACTGGGAGGCGACTTGTCTGACCTATTTGTATTCGACGTTGAGAGATGGATGTCGATAGAGGACGAAACAGGTCACAAGCAGCATGACACTACTGGTGATAATAATTTTTTATCCTTGAATATTTTTTTTATCATTTTCATTTCATATTTGCGATAATTGTTGATCCTTGAATGCGTTTTATTTTCATTTCAAGCATGGATCATGCAGCACCTCACGCGCATCGCTGGTTAGGCGTGTTGGGATGAGTACACTGAGGAGATGCTTCGTGTCTGTGTTTTTATTCCGCTGAGAGGGAACCAAGCGATCGAGCTTTTCAGAGTCTATCTTGACCGCTTAGCTGTCGAGGACATCCACTTCAACTGCTACGTGGATCCTCGTCAAATGCGCCCATTTGACAACATATCTCTATACTCCTGATGACTGGCTTGCGGATCGCGTATCACTACTCTTCATCTGCCTGAGCGCGTCATGCGACAGTTCGGGTACACACAAATCATTCCTAGACACCCTGTTGTCCTTGCTCCTCTTGCCTTAACTCGTATACAGATAGAGGAGATGTTCGTTGATTATCAAAATCACCTGGTACCGAAGGAGACTCGAGCTACCATATCGCCGAATGACTGAAGCTACGTCGACGAATACATCAGGTGGTTCTTCAGGGTCTCACGTCCATACATGGTGCCGACTGCTCCAGAAGATCCGTTGAGACCCGCTAATCAGGAGATTCTAGAGGAGCAACAGTCTCAACTAGATCATACTGAGGATGTATTGCCTCGGTGTCGTCGCATAGTGGAGATTGTGCAAAAAAGCATTGACTAGTGTATCTTTCCTGAGAGCTCTGTTGTGCGGCAAGTACTAGATGTCATGGTTGCGAAGACACGGGAGACTATTGTACCGCAAACATTGTGAGAGGACGGTGGAGATCGATAGCTTGGAGGGTGACCAAACAAAGGAGGCACAGGAAGTGGAGGAGAAGTTGTCAAAAACACCCAATAGAAGCCTGTTATTATTTTGATATTTTACTATAGTTTGTACTTTTTTCCTGACATTATTACTACATTTTGAATTGTATTATACGATGTTTTACTATTATATGACTATATTATTTTGTATGTCTGTTATTTTATTCAATATCGTTCTTCATAATTCATTTGAAAACAATTACATAGCTTGTTATAAAAAAAACGTGTTCTGATACACTTCAAAAATATATTTTTAAAATATCTCCAAAAATATTTATTAAAAAAAATTGGTTATGAGAGATGATGTGAGCATTCAAGGTTCAATTATTTTCAAAAATATATCTCCGAAATTTGTTAATGTTTAATAAAAAATAAGATGCATTCGGAGATATATCTCTGAAATTTAAAAGCATCTTCACACAGTAGATAAGAAATACATAGAACGCAATAAGATATCGGCAAAGAAAATATGCATTGGATTTGTTGTCATGTACTCAGTTTTCTACCAACCAAACCAGTCACTCAGTTTTCTACCAACCAAACCAGTCAGTACCTCAACGACCAAAGGACCCAAACTCAAACTCAATAAAGAAGCAGACACACATTGCAAGAACCTTTCATTTACATGAGACTCGTTTGCATGTTCTTTTATGAAACTTCTTTAAAAGCATAATACAAGACAATAACTGCTGAAGTTTGTGAGATTTAATGGCTAACATTCCTTCTGCATGATCAAAAGGTTGATTAAACAACTCCGGCACAACTATATTGTGATACTCAAACACCAAGACATATAAAGCTATTTTATTAATCCATAAAACAATCAAGCATATAAACTTAGATTGCCATTTGGTTCATGAGAAACTTCAACGAATCATTTCTTAATTTTCAAACTTGCCCTTGAAGATACATGTCCTCCAGTTTGTTTGAGGGTTATGGATAATACTTAATTTGACTATTATAGCTTGATTTAGTCTAATCTAATTGTTCTACCTTAACATAGTTCTTGGTCAAATTATTCAATTAGACTCAATCTTTAATCAAGTTAGAGTCTCTTAGATAACCCTAATTGCCTTTTATTTTATCACACTCCCTCCATCTCAATAAAAACCTTTTAAGGTTGTTATACACAGATTGATTACAAAACAAGTCGCATGTTGCATATTCGAACCCTATATCTATATACAATGATATAGTGTTATTTAGGGACTAGACAGTACTAACGAATCATTGAAAAGATAAAACGACACTCATTTTGGCACAAAATTCGTTAGTTACTTTTGGGAGGGAGAGATAGTTAGTTATATGGATTAGTCAACACCATCTATATAAACAAACTACCAATTTATTTAAAAATAATATGACTGTTGTTCTTCAAAACTCAGTATTACAAAGTTAAACTCTTGATGGATAAGCAATTGCCTCAAGTACTCATATACAACTCATTTGAGAGAGTATAAAGTGAATTCAAAAATAGTGTATTCATTCATCAAAATAGTCAACAAAAAAAAGCAGCTAAACATGAGAAGCTCGGATACCAGGGGAAAGACCAGTTCATGTTAGAGTAGTAAACTAAAATGAAACATGTGAAAACAACATAGAGCATTCATTCATCAATTTATAATAAATATATAAGATACTACAAGAAATCTTATCAGAAAACAACATAAGTACAACTTTATAGATCTGTTCTTTATTTTATAATAAAGAAAATGAGAGGGAAAAAATGTCCTTATTGCAGTATCTAAGTTAGAATACCTATTGAGTAAATAAAAATTAGAATATCGATCAAGTAGCTGAAAGATTAATCAGAATATAAGAACTAAAAAGACTCATTTGTTAGCTTTATTTAAACACATCAATCTTCACCTTAATCATAAGCTTCAAAAGCATGAACTTGGAGATAACTTCACAATTCAAGAGTAGCAGAAATACAATGACAGCAAAATATTGCAAATATCAAACCTTTTTCATCATTAAAAGAATCTACTACTAGTATTCATTATTCTTCCATGTTTAAAAGAATCTCAAGATTGTTTAAGCATCTAGTCCAATCAGGCAATAGAATCACAGGGAAAAAGGAAAAACAAAGAAAACATGCCATCAAAAAGTTCCAACCATGGTTTTAAATTATGGTCTGCATCTCTGCAACCACAATTACGGCCGCAATACTGCTGATGCGGTAGCCACCACAACCACATCAAATCGCAATTGCAGTGTGATTTAAAATCACACCTCATGCCGAATTAGAAACCGCATCAGGCAAATTTCCAATTTCACTCGTGTGATTTTCATCAAAACTCAAAACTTCACAACCTCAAAACTAAATTTACTTATAATGTAATAAAAAAATCTAAATATATAGTGCTTTTCAAATGTGTGTTTCAAACAACTCCCAATAAAAATTCACTCTGCGATCGCAGCAATGACCGCAGTCGCAACACCTACAACCCCGCAACCGCATCTGCGACCACAGTTTAAAACCATGGTTCCAACTGCAAAAGTAAAGACCGCGACGCTAATTCACTATTAATCACATGAGATATACATCAACAACAACAAAAAAACTCTTATACATGGGTGCACTTCTTTCTATTCACAATTCCAAGCCACAAAACATGAAAACAAGTAAAGTCAAGAAAACTAGTAACTACCAGGGTTTTAAATAGAGGTATGCCACCACAGTACTAGCCGCAAAAAACTGTTTTTCATGTTTTTGAAACTGTAATGTGATCGCTGCAACCGCTATTTAAAACCCGGCTACTTACTTCTTCTACACATAACACATACATGCATAACTACTACTATACATCACACATACATACATATACACATTCATACTTACATAGGTTGAAGATGGATCTTATCACACGATGTCATGAGTCATGATCATGGAAACCCTTTTTGAAGTTTCTGAATTGCAGTATACATCTTCCTTCTTGAACCAACAGCACTAATTCCCATATCCTTGAGATCCTCCAATGTCAACATGGGAAGTAACTCAACATCCACTTCATGAATCTCAAACATTGGAGCATACCTACTCAACCCTAAATCAAATAGCCAGCACCAAACTCCTTCGTTTTTTCTTCCTTCCCTTGATTCTGATTCAACTCCTTCGTTTTCCGAAACCCTAATTCGGTTATCATTATTTTGATTTGCATGCCAGTAACCGTTTCCGTTACCGTTCTCATCAACAGAATGAACCGGACTAACTCGATCGTGATCGTGATCATCATCGAGATTTTTGAAATCTTGCCTTCCGTTCTTGTCGATCGGTTTCGGAGCAGAATCCGACCTCAATCGTTTCGTTGAGCCTCGTTTTGCTTTACCTCTTCGGTGGTTACCGAAATCGATGATTTCGTTAGCGTGATTCGCTACGGTTCGGGGTTTGAATGTTCTGGAAGATTCCTTTGAAAGTTGCCAGCTCCACGGAGGATGGTTATGGAGGCGCGAGATGCCGTGTTGGTCGCCGATTTCTCCTAAACGGACGCTCGGACGGCGTCGCCGTTTCGGAGCTAACGTGGGAGGTACGATGATATTGCCGTTTGGTTGTGCTGTTGTTGCCGGTACGATTTCCGGTAAGGATGTGATTGGAGGCTCCGGCGGCGGTGGGTGTGTTTCGGGTATAGCCGCCATGACGGTTAGAGTGGGAGTACCGGTGTGCGCAGGATAAGGATGATGAGAAATTTTTCGGTACGGTAGGGGTGTAACAGTTCAATGCACCTCCTAAGTTTTACATAGTTGGATGGCTGGGATCATACTTGGTCAGAAAATAGAAGAGTTGGGACACTTATTTGAATGGTTCCATTGGTCACATTATATGATTTTTTTTTTTTTAAATAACATTTTCAATTAAAATACCACGATGATTGGGGTTAAAATATTAAGATTTTGGATGGAATATTAGTGGCGAAAGAAATTATGGATGAAGTTAGGAGAAGAAAAAAGAAGTAATATTATTTAAAGTTGACTTTGAAAGGTTGTAGGAATGTGTAGATTGGAAATTTCTAGTAAATGTTGTGAAAAAAAAATGAGCTTTTTTTCAAAATGGTGTAAATGGATCTTTGAATGTTTAAATTCTTTAACTGTATCGGTTTTGATCAATTGCAGTCTAATGGACGAATTCAAGATGGGAAAATGGCTTAGGCAAGAAGATACGTTATTTCCGTTTTTAATTTTAATTGTGGCAGAAGCCTTTAATGTGATGATGAAAAAGGCAATAGAGATGGGAAAATTTCAAAGATTTAAATTTGAAGGAGGAAACAAGAGGTTCTCATATTTACAATATGCAGATGATACCTTGATCATTGGTGAGAAGTTGTGGTCAAACATTAGAACTATAAAGGGGTTAATTGTATTATTTGAGTCGATGTGTTGGTGGTTGCAAGTGTGACGAATCTATATCTCATCTTTTTTTTGAGTGTCAATATTTTGCAGGTGTATGGGGTCACTTATGCAGGTGGTTAGGAGTATCATCAGATTTGCATTCTGAAGCGTGGCAGCACTTGTTGCGGTTTGAAAATCTTCTCGGAGGAGGTAAGGATCTGGCCCTAAAGCTCTGCATGTTGTGGTGTGCTTGTATCTGGTGCATTTGGAAACGGAAGAACTATAAAATATTTCGCGAGAAAGAAATACAGATTCCAAAGGTGACTGGAAAGGTAATTCTACACTCATGGAGATGGCTTAAATTGAAATCAAAGAATATTTCGGATGGTTTTACAGCTTGGTGGACAAATCCAAATTCTTTTTTGGGAGTGGTTGTATAAACTGTTGAAAATTCACCTCACACTCTATGAAGAATTCCCTTCAATCTTGATCTCAAGATTGATGAACAAACCCACAATATGATAGTAATGGTGATAACAAGTAAAGAGTTATCAAGAACAATAAAAGAAAAGAAGAATAACAAACAAGCAAGAAAGAGAAGAATGAGAGAAGAAATATTTGAAGAAAAATTGTGTTACCCACAACTGTGGGATTTCTGATTATATTGAACTTTCACTTGCTAAACTCTGCAACTGTGAAATTTGTTCTATGTTATGTAGAATACAAAGCAAGGCACCCTATTTATAGTTTTAGGTTTACAAAAGCCCAAAACATAAAAGGCCCAAAATATTCAAAATCAAATCTAATCTAAATCATATCAAATCAAATTTGTTTACACTATGAATTATATTTAACACACCACCTAATTCATTGTGTCTAAACTGTCTACATTCATCATGGCTCTTAGTCTTCTGAAGGCTTCGACCTGCACTCTCTTCGTCATGATATCTGCAATCTGATTCTCAATTCTGCAGTGTTCCAACTTCATCTTCCCTTCTGCTACCTGCTCTCAAAGATAATGGAACCTCGTTTCGATGTGCTTTCTTTGACCATGAGCTATTGGATTCTTCGCCAAGTTGATAGCTGACATGTTGTCTATCTTCATGGTAATTGCTCCATGATTCTTCCCTGTGATTTCTTCGAACAAGTTCACCATCCAAGTTGCTTGACATGCACAAAGAGAAGCAGCTATATATTCTGCTTCGCATGATGATAATGCCACTACTGGTTCCTTTCTCGAATTCCAAGCAACTGGTGCACCACCTAACATAAACACATACCCAGCTGTGGATTTTCGATCCTCAACATCACTACACCAACTGGAGTCTGTGTATCCCACTAACTTGCATTCTTTTCCTTCATCAGCTGCTGGAAACAAAATGCCATAGTCGAGAGTTCCTTTCAGATACCTCAGTATCCTCTTCGCTGCTGCTAGGTGTGATACCTTTGGCTTCTGCATGAATCTACTTACCATACCAACATTGTATGCTAAGTCAGACCTTGTGTGACAAAGGTATCTAAGTGACCCAATAAGTCTTTTGTATTGGGTTGGGTCGATATCATCTTCATCTGAATCCTTCGACAGTTGCAATCTGGGCTCATCTGGAGTCGAAGTTTGGTTGCAATCTTGCATCTCAAATCTCTTGAGTATTTCGCCTGCATATCTTCTTTGATTCATCATCGAACCTCTACTTGTCTTGAGGAATTCGATGCCAAGGAAATATGAGAAATTTCCCAAGTCTGACATTTCAAACTCCTTACTCAGGTCATATTTGAAATCCTCGATCTCCTTCTTGCAACTCCCTGTTATCAACAAATCATCAACACAGAGACATAGTATAAGCAATTCGCCATTGCTTCTTCTTACATATACTCCATGCTCAGTTGTACACTTCACAAATTCCTTATCCCTTAAGAAGCTGTCGATTTTCTTATTCCAAGCTCTTGGAGCTTACTTAAGTCCATACAGGGATTTATGAAGCCTGTACACCTTTCTTTCTTCGCCTTGTTTCACAAACCCAGCTGGTTGTGCAACATAAACTTCTTCGTCTAAGGGGCCATTAAGGAATTCACACTTCACGTCAATCTGACATGCGTGCCAGTTATTCATATTTGCTAGACCAACAACCAACCTAATTGTTTCGATTCTAGCAACAGGTGTGAATACTTCATTGAAGTCGATTCCTTCCTTCTGAATAAATCCTTTCGCCACAAGTCTTGCCTTGTGTCGAGTTACTTCTCCTTTAGGATTTACCTTCACCTTGTAAACCCACTTCACATCAATCTCCTTCTTGCCTTGCAGAAATTCGACAAGTAACCAGGTATCATTGACTTCGATGGGCTCCAACTCTTCAGTCATTGCTTTCACTCACTTTGAATCTTTCAATGCCTCAGCTGCATTGACTGGTTCGACATCTGCGTAGAAAGCATAATGTACCAGCTCACCCTCTTCATCGACTACATCATCTGATGTAATTACACATTTTTGCAACCTTGCAGGCATGTGTCTTGTTCATCGAGGTCTGCTTGAACCTGCTTCATCTGCAACTGGTTCCTGTCGAACTTCTATTTCGACTTCAGTGGTTGGTTCTTCACAAGAGATCTCACTGAATCCTTCTTAGCATTCTCAGTCTAATCCCATTCTTTAAGCTCATCTATGATCACGTCCCTGCTGATCACTACCTGCTTATTCACTGGGTCGAACATCTTGTAACCTCCTGTCGAATGATATCCTATCAAGATCATCTGATTCGACTTATCATCAAGCTTCCTTCTCAACTGATCTGGCACATGTCTATGTGCTATAGATCCAAACACCTTCAAGTGACTGGGACTAGGCTTGATACCAGACCAACATTCTTCTGGTGTGATTCCTTCAAGCTTCTTCGTCGAACATCTGTTCAATATATATGTTGCTATCGAAACTGCTTCTCCCCATAATTCTTTGGGTAGATGCTTTCCATTCAACATACTTCTCACCATATTCATGATGGTTCTGTTCTTGCGTTCTGCAATCGCATTTTGCTGTAGAGTGTAGGGTGGCACCACCTCATGCACAATCCTTTCTTTTACACATAGTGTGTCGAACTCTTTTGATACATACTCTCCACCACCATCAGTCCTCAAAATTTTCAGCTTTCGACCACTCTGTCTTTCGACCATGGACTTGAATTTGGAAAATACCTCAATCACATCACTTTTCTTCTTGATGAGATAAGCCCACAACTTTCAACTATAATCATCTATAAACGTGACAAAGTATCTATTGCCACCAATCGAATCCACCTGGATTGGACCATATACATCAGAGTATATGACTTCAAGTATTGCCTTTGACTTCCTTCCTACATCCTTGCTGAAGCTATTCTTGTGTTGTTTCGAATGAACACACTCCTCACAGACATCACTTGGAATATCGATTTCTGGTAATCCTGAAACCATATTTCTTCTCTTCAGTTCTCTGATGTCATTAAAGTTGAGATGACCTAGTCGAAAATGCCATAACCACTCATCTCTGCTGGCTGTAGTTGCTAGACACTTGTGCTCCATCATATTGAGTTCAATATTGAAGGTCCTATTCTGAGACATTGGAGCCTTCAAGATTAATCTATCACCTGCGTCGAGAACTCTCATCATCTTGTCTTCAACAACTACTTTGTAGTTCTTTTTGACAAGTTGCCCTATACTGAGCAAATTACTCTTCATGCCTGGTATGTACAACACATTGGAAATTGTTGACCTTTTGCCATCTTTCCTCATAATCAGAACATCACTAACACCTTCGGCTGCTAGAGTGTTGTCATTTGCAAACTTCACTGTGTTCTTCGACGAGGGCTTCATGTTGACAAACCAATCTTTCCTTCCAGTCATGTGTGATGAGCATCCTGAGTCCAAGTACCACTGATCTTGGAATATTTCTTCATCTTTTGTTGTGACCATTAGCAACGTTTCTTCTTCTTCATGTTTCGCCAGCTTTGCATCAGTCTATTGATTTCTCTTCCTTTCTAGACAATCACTAACATAATGACCATACTTCTGGAAATTGAAACATTGAATGTGGCTTTTGTCTGTCTTTCAACCACCACTTATTCCTTTACCTGAAGCACCACCTCTTTGGTTGCCTTGGTTTCAAGGTTTCTTCTGATTCGACTGGTTTCCTCCTTTGTTGCCATTCCAGCTACCTTTCTCTTTTCTTTCCTTTTCTGATTGCGCCTGCAAAGCCATATCTTTTGACTTTCCTGCAGCTCTCTCAGCCATCCTCTATTCATGAGACTCAAGAGTCCCTTGAAGCTCTTCCTTCGTCAACGCTG